GTTGACAGTAAATCCCGCGAGCATGCAACAATAGTGCATTATTGCCGAGTTGTATGATTTCAGTGTATCCTGGTTCACGATGCAACATCACTGATAAATGTCAGCTGAATTCGAAATGCTTAAACGGTTCTTGTGTATGTCCTGAGCAATTTGATACCAGTGCCAGTGGTTTCTGTACGAATGCTACATCAAAAACCATCAAGAAAGGTCAGCCGGATAGATTACGTGAGAATCATGTCAGGTTCAAGCTGTGAAATTGATAATTTTGCAAACGATTAAAGGTCTGGCTGGATCGCACTGCTCAGCGAATTCATCGTGTGCCTCTAGCACACTTTTGTGTTCTTCATCAGAGCATTGTATTTGTTCTGATGGCTTCATCGGTGATGGACACGGCGATTGCTCGAAAATTGCAAAACCGTTTGCTCGGTCTAGTTCTTTACCACAGTTCACGGAAGGTAACCTTAGTGTGCCGTTTCATTTCATTATTCTTATAGCGCAATCCAACTCATGAAGGTGCATCATTTTTATGTTATCGAAACGGTAAAACAGATATTAAAAGAAAGAGAACATTTTATTGCTATGATTAGAAATAAATCGATGCAGGTGTTACCTGTTATCAGATCTTCAAATCAGTTTTTATTCGTGAATCTAACTCATGTTGCAGATTCTCATTAAGCTAACTTACATGCTCTCACTGTGATTCTTAATACACCGAATAAGTATAATTTCACAGAACTTTTATGCAGTGTTATATGCGATTTGATTGCATGCTCGACTAACATGAGAAAACAAATTCCATAACTATAACAACTAATGTCGTAATAACCGATTGTTGAGTATGTTCTATGTTAGCATCGATTCTGAATCAAATAACAACGAATTATTTCATTGCATGTTCAGTGTTACCTGGTGAGTCGTGCATGAACGGTGAGAAATGCATTGGTGGTTCAATGTGTGTGTTTGGTAAGTGTGCGTGTAGGTCGGGTATAGCAAGAAGAGGTTTGATGTGTCATTCTGAAATACATCCATTCAAACGTTCTTTGTCAGACCAACATTCGAACAGAATACATCGATTCAATGGCGTCAGATCACATCAGCGTCACACAATGATCACAGCATGTCCATCAGATGGCTCATGTCAACTGCCTGATTGCTACTGCTCAAGGTCTGATCTTTATGATTATCACTCACTATTTTGTCGAACAACCGTAAGTCTACTAAAGTCAAATAATGTGAAATCATTGAAACAGGTACATTCAGTAGTAAAGTCACATTGAGAAAGACACAACTCGTTATCGGTTGGAAGTTTATGCTGATTTTGCATTATATGTCCTTTTCTCGGACGAACAACCCTCAGGAATTAGCCTTGTTTTTCTCGGAATCTCATTTCAAAATACCAATAATGGGTGCATCATATGACAATTCTGTTGAATCCTAATGATGTTTTGTAGGACAGGAATGGAGATTCCAGGTGGTTATAATGCATCTGAAATACCGCAGATGGTTGTACTTACATTTGAAGGCGCTGTCACAGATCGCATAATTCAAATGTACAAATCGCTTTTCACTGGCCGCTTTAGGTATAAATGCGGGATTGATTTTCTTTTGCTTCCGTAACTGTCGTCGTTATTGCGAACATAGTGACCCAATAGTTGATGATGTATTGGAAATTTCTCGCAGTCGTTAGAATACTCCTTCAGTTTGAATATTTCTCGATATCGCACTGAATTTTGTTGCTAAATTTCTACCGTTTTCAAGCAGAGTTATATCATCCGATAGTTTCATTCAAGTTTACTACAAACATTGAATAGTGATGTTGATCTACTTCGAACGGACGGTCACAAACTTTCTTTGCAGAAACCCAAATGGATGCCCAATTCAGGCAACATTCTTTATAACCCATGAGTGGAACAACTACGATCAATCGCAGTGGTTGATGAGCACTGGACATGAAATTGGTGTTTCGTCTATGACGTTGGTGTTTTTTTTAGTTTTATCACTTGAAACTGAGAAAGCGATTCAAAGAGTTGCTTTAAAAATTTTCACTTGCACTAGTTATTGTGTCGAACATTCCAAAATTGAAACTGAAATATATCAATTGAAGAGGTGATGTACTAAACCAAACATCGAAGCAGCGATGGCATGCTGAAATGAATGGTATGCGTGAGGCATTAGGATTGTTCAGTTATGTTCCGGTTAATGAAATTATCGGTTTACGTGCACCACGGCATCAGCTCGGAGGTTATCATTCATTTCTCATTGTACAAAAACTTTGTCATGTTTACAACATCAATATTTTGATCATATTTTAACTGTCCTTTAATTTATTAGCAAAATGTGAAAATGAAGAAGCGAAAATGAGAGATATCACAGTTGACCCATTATCATCACTTAATAACTTCAATCAACTTCTTTGTTCATTAAGGTGATAATCAGTTTTCGACAATGTTATCGTCCGATTTCAAATACGACAGTACAACAAGTTTTTCGGGTGGTCCGTATTGGCCTCAAACGCTCGATTATAAATTAGCCTGGGAGTGTTCAGAAAATGGATGCCCTCAAAAACCATATCCTGGCTTATGGGAACTTCCAATTAGTCCATTAAAGAGACTAGATTCTCGTGATGAATCCACAACGGTTAAAGATATGGTAAAAGTGAGTCAATTCGATGCATATTGCCTGACTGATCTATGCTCATTCATTCAATTCTTGATGACAGAGTAATTTGTTCAAAATGTTATACATCTTAATGAAAATCTTTTTGAAGTCAAAGTTGAAGTGTTTTTTCGCGGAGTTATTCATTGCACTCTTGAAAGCATCGTTCAACTTTTTTTTGCTGTTGACTACCAACTGATAAATGTCACTTTCTATGGGTAACGCTTTGTTGAGGTTCATTATGTTTTTAGAGCGGTGACTCACCGAATGATATAGCCACCATGTTGGAGAAGAATTTTCGGCGTCATTACTACAATAATCGTGCACCGTTTGTTATCGCGATCGACTCGGATTATTTAACTTCGCTTCAAGATAATGGTGCTCTCAAGGCCCTTGAGATATTCATTGAACAGGTGCATAGGATAAACTCATAACCATCATCTGTATTGCACTCATCATCACGGATCT